ACACACACACTTTTAAAATATCTATGATGCCTGTCTGCAGAAAAAGGCAGCCATTTTTAGGAGGATACCTGCAGCCTATAACAGAGGAGATATACACTGTACTCTCTAGCAGAGGCCTTATTTTTGTTCTTTCACTGCCTTGCACTTTGTTTTGTTATTTATACCCATACAAAGTCAGTAAACAGTGGGTGCTAAAAGCTACCTTTCTGGTCGGATTGTCTATCACACCCAGTCTGTATTCACTCTGCTCAGGTGTAAATGTTTCCACAAGGTGTCATGGGGTTTGGTCTACTTCCAGGAGTGGAAGGATGACTTTTTCTATAAAGCTCATGTTCTCGGTCCTTTTCCTTCAGGTCTGGACATGAAATTGCATTCTGTCTACTTTCATAATAATTGGACCACACGGCTTCCTGTCAACACAACACTTTTTGTCACCTTTCAACATCTTGCACTTTCTGCACAGTTCACACACTAAAACAATGTGTAAAAGTGGTGTTCAAGAAAAAACAAGCACATAAAACCAATAAACTGAGATTCTCAGTGGTGTTTTTTCCCCCTGTATGTGCTGGAAGAGTCAAAACTCCCCAACCAGCACATCTGGATGAAGACGAATTAAGGTAAGGAAATCTTTCACTTACTATGCAGTTGCTGTTTTCTATTCTGACTTACATTAATCTCTGCATTAAAAAGGTACCTTTGTCATGTGGTGGGGCTGGATTAGTTTAACAAGCAGACATTTATCATAAAGAAATGAGAAGTAGAGCACTGTCTAGGTATGGTATATTTCTGGCATGTGTCACCTGGGTATGTCTTTTTAATACAGCAAATAATTAAACAAATTGAGTGAATGGTTCACTCCCAGGCCTGTTAATTGCACGATACACTACTTTGTTTGCCCTTCATTCTTTTTTACAAGGTTCAAAATACACTGACTAGCAGCTAGTCATCTAAGTGTTTGTTTGCTTGTGAGGTTTACTAAGAGTCCTACAAAGTCGAAAAGAGACTTTTGCAATCAGACTCTCTTTTAAATGTAAGTGGGTGGTGTAAACATAACATGAATTTCATTAAATTAGAGCTTTTACTTTGATCTCCATATAGAAATAATATTCTGTGTATGTAAGGCACCTTCGCTCAGAAGTTGCAATAGCTTTTTACAAACATTAATAAGGTAAGCCTCACAGTTCCTCAGGGAGGCAGATATTACCATCCTCATTTTACAGGAAAATAAATGGGCCCAAAGGTCTTAAGTGACTTGCCCAAAGTCACACAGCGAGGCTTTGGCAGAGCTCAGGATACAATCCAGATCTCCGGACTCCAAGTACTGTGCTTGAGTCACAAGATCATACTTCTTTTCTTTATATAGTACATAGACTCAATAGGCTTGATTCTCTTCTGAGCTGGGGGTCCGACTTGGCAGAGAAGGAAGGTCAGGTGGTTTCAGGGACCCAGCTCCCTGATTCTTAGGGTATCCGTGGTCCCGACACAACTCAGAGCTGGTTCCAAGTACCTTTAACTTGTGCAACTGATGCAACGTCCTTAATTGAATTGATGCCAATGGAAGGTTGCTGTGGTGGAGTTCAGTTCCCACCTTCTCCCCTACCCCCTTCTGCCCCTGAAATGTCCCTCCCTCTCTCCCTAAGCATGTAGAGGGGTGGGGGAAGAGGGACAAAGCCTGGCTGCAGTGTAGATGTGCCAGTAGGGAGTACCCCTACACCAGAGAATTTCTGTGCTGGGTATTTTCAGCCTGATTGTAGTACCCTTTTGATCCCCTGAATGGTGCAAATGGACTGAAACCCAGCCTGGGCATCTGGCCCTAGCAGTGGTTACAGTACAATATATAAATAAGCAAGCAAGTAAATCCATTTAGTCATGTATGAATATCGGTGAAATCACAGCAAATTTTCTAAAGCCTTCATGATCCATCACTAGCTTTAAGCACTCGGCAGCTGACCTTCCAGTGCTCTACTATATGCCATCCATCCATGTCTTTGCTGGAACTCCACCATTCCTTCCATAATAGTATTGGTATATATAACTTATAATAACTTTCTCAAAGTTATTTCCATCTCTATACCCATCTCAGGGTCTGCTTCTCTCCAAGCAATAATTATGTGATTTGTGCATTTTTAGAAGCTAAGAGAACAGCTGCTTGGGAATTTTTTGACAAAATATTTTTTCATCAAAAGGCCAGATCATCAAAAACAAACTGTTTGTGTAACATGGTCAGGAATCTCCTGACTTGAAAACAAACATCGGAAAAAAAAAATGTCTGACATTTTCAAAACAAAAAACTCCAGTTTTTTTGTTCAAAATGACTTTTCATTTTGAAATTTATGCTAAGTAGACTAAAAAAAGGTGAAAATAGACATATAATGTTTGAAAATTATTGAAACAAAATGTTTTGAGAAGACCTGAACTGAAAAATGTTGTAGTTTGGGGTTTTTTTGTTTAGGTTCTCACTTTTAGTCTTGATTCAGGATGGAAAAACAATTTGAACTCTGGAAAATATTAAGGGAATTGGAAAACCATTTCTACCTCTACTTGGGAGCAAACAGAACCTTGTAAATAATGGCTACCAACTCCCTGCTGTCCCACAGGGCAGTACCATATTTTTATCCCTGCTGATAGCTATTTTCCAAAGTACCACCATTCCAAACATTATCCTTCTAAAACAGGCTGGGGAAAAGAATTTTGATTACTAATCCACTTCAGATGTGGTTGTCTAACAAGTTCCTGACAGAAAATAGCCTGACATAGCCTAAAAATCTGGTTGCTGCTCGTTAAGAACATTGTTAAGCATGCATGTGCACAATCATTTTGTTGTGGATTTGATTGTATTTAAGTGTAATATTAGAAGCAGTCTCTGCCATAGGGAACCCTCCTGTATCCCTCACTAAAGAACTATGTGAAGCAGTCTAGTAGATCGTCCACTTGTACACTGCCATAAGTATTTTTTTTTAAATCTCTAGGTCACTGTGTGGATTCAAAACACTGAAACCATGTGAACAGTGTTTCCTGCAGTCTGATGAATCTGTCTGTCTCCCATATGTTCAATCAGGACTGGCTTTAGGCACCAGCAAACCAAGCCCATGCTTGGGGCGGCAGAATTGCAGGGGCAGCATTCCAGGAGGTTGTTGTTGGTTTTTTTGCTTCGGCAGTTGCGCTCTCGGAGGTTTGGTTTTTTTTCTTGGGGCAGCAAAAAACCTAGAGCCAGCCCTGTGTGCAATAGCTCCTTTACAGACCTGATTTTTCTGAAGCACTGCAAATAAAGACCCAGAAATGCACATCCCCTTCCCATTTGCCAATCCTAAGGATACATAAGAGCCAAGATTGCCTTTTATTGCCCCTAACTAGATCAACCTCTGCTTCTGAGCCACTCTTTGATGTCTGTCCCAAAGGGTGACAGCAAAATGATCATTTGAAAAAAAATATAGCCTTTAGTTTTTTTGATTGACAAGCAACCCAGCTTGCCTGATGGAGATCTCCAAAACAGCTTGCAATTACGTCAAAAGCATCAAAGAGAGTTTGCCAAGCTGAGTGACTTTGGGTAAGTCACATAACCTTTTGTGTCCCCGTTCATCATCTTTTGGGACTTAATCTAAGATTTGTTGGGTTTTTTGTTTTTGTCTTTCAAAATAAATTCACACTGGCAGAGATGGATAATCTTTCCAAAATCCAGAATAGCAAACTCAAGCTAAGAATTGATATAGTGCACTTCCATTAACTTTCAGTGACAGCTGTGAGCACTCAATCAGCTCACTTTTATTTAGGTGCCTATTTCTAGATTTAGGTGTCTAACTTTACATAAGAGCATAAACATTTCCATATTGGGTCAAACCAATCTTGTCCAGTATCCTGTCTCCATCAGTGGTCCAAGCTTGAGCTTCAGGGAAGTGTACAGAACAGGGCAATTTTGGAGTAATCCACTCCCATCTTGCACTCTCAGTTTATAGAAGTCAGAACTTTAGGATCGCACCAAGCACAGGTTTGCATCACTGACCATCTTGGCTAATAACCATTGATGGACTTATCCTCCATGAACTTACCTAGTGTGATGTTGTATGATTGAAGTGGATATTACCACTGTTATACAGCTGCAACAAATCTTTTACAAAGTGTATCATGTAAGGTGTTGTGAAAAAAGTTACAATCTGTCAAGTATGATTATCCCGGTTAAATCCATGCATCATCGTCTGAAGTTATGAATACTGACTATGTATTTGTATCTTAAATGTGTTTGTTCTTGAGGTGACACCCATAAGGTAGTTTATCTCCAGTCTCACCAGCCCATTGTGAATGGACCATTCAAGTTTGATTGGCCATTAAGAAGAATTAACTCTCAAGATAACTCTTCCTGAGGATGCCTGAGACAGCAAGGAGCCAATGGCCACCCCATGATTCAGGAAAACGTGTAAGGTCATGTGATGTGGACATGTGACCACAGACTCCATCTTTTTTTCACTTTCTATACAAAGGGGCTGTGGGCATTATTTAAGGCAGAGGATATAAAAGACTCCTGAGACATCTCCATTTTGCCTCATTCCTGCTCCAATTCTCTGGACTGTGGATTTACAACTAAAAGGAGTATTTTGAACTAAGGACCTTCCAATCTTGTGGAAATTACCAGAGAGACTTTTGCAAGCCAGCAGTCTATTCCATCACTGCTACAAACCTGATCTGAGGTCTTTGTTATCATTTGTATGTATATGAGCTTTTAACCATTTATAAGTCTATTCTTTCCTTTTATTAATAAAGTCTTAGTTAGTTTACTAAGGATTGGCTGGCAGTGTGATATTTGGGTAAGATCTGAGATTCATACTGACCTGGGGGTAAGTGTCTCATCCTTTGGGATTGGTAAAACCTCACATATGTTGAATTGGGTTTTCAATAACCTCTCACTATATTAGACCAGTTTGTCTGTATGGGAACCAAGGGCTGGAGTGCCTAAAGGGGACTGTGTTTGGCTTCTTGTTAACCAGTGTGGTGCTACAGAAGCTCTTGTGTTACTGGCTTGGTGAATCTAATTGTAGTATAACCCACCAGTTTTTGGAGTGTGCCTGCCCTGTTTCTTGCACTCTCTCCTGAGTGTGGCATTCTCAGTGTGGTTTGTCCCAGGCACCCAGTCCTTTTTCGATCCCATTTATATTTTTGGCCATCATAACATTCCATGGCAATGAGTTCCACAGGTCAGTTGTACATTGTGTGAAAAAGCACTTCCTCCTGTTTGTGTTATCAATCACTTAAGGCTCAAGAATGTGAACTTTTTGGCCTTAAATATTTCCCAAGCAAACTGACATTAAAAACAAACAAAACAACAACAAATTATCAAGCCTGGGTCTAATTTATGGAACATCTCTAGGTGTTTCAAACTCAAGATAATACAAACAATGCTGTGCTGCACACATTTCTCAGATATTCTCTCTCAAACACACATATACTTTATATAAAATACGGTATTTGATTAGGGGAGCAACCTATTTGGGCAACTACAACTGGTATATTTCATAGGTCTATGAGGTTTTTGTACTGAAAAAATAATACAAAAATACACCTCCTTAAAAGACTCCTGGTTTCCTGTCAGTAACCAATTTCTTCTTGATAGATCTCCTTAGGGAATAAAAAAAGTTCTCTCTCAAGGAGTTCATGTTGCCTTCATTTACCTTTTGCATAACAAAAGTTCAGACTAATTCTGAATAGATGTTTTGTGTAGTTGCACCAGGTGTCTTGCTTGGAAAGACAGAACACTAAAAGTCAGCAAAATGCCAATTTGCTCCGTTTCAAAATATTTTGTTTCAATTGTTGCCAAAGCCTGGGGCAAAAACACTACATTCTGTTTTAAGTGTCTCTGTTTTTCAATCAGCAAGTTTTTAAGTTTTTCTTTTTATTTATCAGCATACTCAAGAGAGAGTTTCACCTAATCCTATTGATCTGGTACAGATTTTAATAAGTAAAACCATAGCTGCTTGGAATCATGACCACAAGAAATCAGAACAATGAACATGGTCATTATTTTCAATATAATTAGTAAACACATTGGGGGAAAGATCGGAAATACATGTGTCTGGATTAGAAGAATTTAAATGCTTGTGTCAACGTCAATGATTCTCATCATCTGGAAATTGTAACCCAGATTTCTATCTGTGCATTGTACATTTAGTCTCAGTAACTGATTATTTAATCAGAATTTAAACAAATATTGCATGATTATGTTGTATGATCACATACTGCATATAGCTATATAGGCCTCAATTTAGCAAAACATTTAAGCACAGGTTTGAAGCTATCCCTATTCAGCAAAATATATTGAAGTTATTCATTGGGACTAATGCATGTGCTTAAGCGCTTTGCTGAAGAGGGAGGGACTTAAATACACTTAGGCTTAAAATCAAATACAGACTGAAGGGCTGTGCTGAACTGTGGCAACAATAAGAATATTTTAAAACCCTGAATCTAGGAAGACGTTTGCATGTATTTAATTTTATGCACATGAGCAGATCCATGAAATTCAATGAGTCTACTCATATGTGTGAGTGTTTGCAGGATCAGAGCCTTAACTACTTCTAAGCTACTCTGTATTATTAAGTATAGTAGAACTTCATTTAGAGTTTCATTCCCACTAAAATGTTGTGGGTTTAGTATTTCCCACATGAACTAAAGTGTCTGGGTTTCATATGGCCTTAGTTTGCTGGGAATGAGAGGAGTCTGGAGTCTAGCTGAATCATCTATGTCTTACAACTAATCTGAGTATCATGATTAGGGCCGTGCCTTTATCACTGCTGTTACTGCTATGACACAACCCATGACAAGAAATGAGTGAATAGATGAAAAACAATTTCCATTAATTTTCATTTACAGTCAACAGCAAATTTCAATTTCACTGGGCTTAACACCTTTTCTATAAATACTCAAACACAAATCTTTAGGGAAAATTAATTTCAAATTGTAAATTCAATGGTAAAAATCACAGATCCTGCTATGTGCTAGTTAGTTACATTTAATATACCATTATTTCTGTTCCCTGATTGAATTACTTATGTAACACACCAACACAGCAAATATTAGAATCAAATACACAATTTAAAATTCACAGTGTCCTGGTAGTTATAGATCCATAGAGATGTAAGGCTCAAAGACACGTCAAGAGGCTATCTAGTCCAGCCCCCTGTGCTGAGGGACGACCAAGTATACCTAGATCATCCCTGACAGGTGTTTTTCCAACCTGTTCTTAAAAACAGGATGGGGATTGCACAACTTCCTTTGGAAGCCTGTTCCAGTGCTTAATTTTTTCTGTAGTTAGAAAGTTTTCCCTAAGACCTCCCTTGATGCATATTAAGCCCATTACTTCTTAACCTATGTTCAGTGGACATAGAGAACAATTGATCACTGTCCTTTTATTAGAGCCCTTAATATATGTCAAGACTGTTATCAGGTCCCCCCTCAGTCTTCCTTTCTCAAGATTAAAAATGCCCAGTTTTTTTTAACCTTTCCTCATAGGTGAGGTTTTCTAAACCCTTTATTATTTTTGCTGCTCTTCTCTGACCACTCCAATTTGTCCCCATTTTTCTTAACAAGTGCGACCCAGAACTGGACACAGTACTCCAGCTGAGGCCTCACCAGTGTCAAGCAAAGTAGGACAATTACTTCCTGTGTCTTTCTTACAACATTCCTGTTAATACACCCCAGAATGATATTAGCCTTTTCACAAATGCTTAACATTGTTGACGCATATTCAATTTGTGATCAACTATAGCCCCCAGATCCTTTCAGCAGTACTAATACTACTTAGCCAGTTATTCCCCAAATTTGTATTTGTACATTTCATTTTTTCTTCCTAAGAGAAATACTTTGCACTTGTCCTTATTAAATTTCATCTTATTGGTTTCAGACCAATTCTCCAATTTGTCAAAGGTGTTTTGAATTCTCATCCAATCCTCCAAAGTGCTACCAATATCTCCTCAGATCAGTGTCCTCCACAAATTTTATAAGCACACTCTTCATTCCATTATCAAGTCATTAATGAAAATATTGAATAGTACCTGTCCCAGGACTGACCCCTGCGGGACCCCACTAGATACGCCAACCCGATTTTACAGCAAACCATTGATAACTACTCTTTGAGTAGGGCCTTTCAACCACTTTTGCATCCACTTTATACTAATTTTATCTAGACCACATTTCTCTGGTTGGCTTACAAGAATGTCATATGGGACTGTGCAGAAGCCTTATTAAAATCAAGATATGTCACATCTAGTACTTTCCCCCCATCCATTAGACCATTAACCTCGTCAAAGAAGGAAATTAATTTGGTTTGGAATAATTTGTTCTTGACAAATCCATGTTGGCTGTTACTTATTACCCTATGTGACAGACCCAGACCAGTGGGGTACAGGAGTCTGGTAGAGGGCAAATATACTGATCACTGGATGAGTAGTTTTCTGTGCCCTGAGTAACCAGAGCAGGGGCTGCACTAGTGTAATCAGGAACCTGCTAGAACCAGTTAAGACAGGCAGGATAATTAAGACACCTGGAGCCAATTAAGAAACTGCTAGAATCAATTAGGATAGGCTAGCTAATCAGGGCACCTGAGTTTTAAAAGGACCTCACTTCAGTTTGTGGTGTGCATGCAAGGAGCTGGG